AGGTCATATTTGTTCCCATTCCCAAGAAAGGTAACCCAACAGAATGTGGAAACTAACAATATCATTAATATCACATGCAAGCAAAATACTGAAGAATATTAAAAAACGGCTAGATAGGGAACTGCCATAGTTCAAGAAGGATTTAGAAGAGGCTGTGGCACCAGGGATATCTTTGCAGATGTCAAATAGATCCCGGCTGAAATAATGTCTATGTAAGCTTTATTGACTATGCAAAAGCATTTGACTATGTGGATCATAACAAGTTATTTCAAACATTGAGAACAATGGGAATCCCAGAGCACTTAACTGTGCTCATGTGAACTCTATACCTGGACCTGGACCAGGAGGCTGTTGTGCAAATAGAGCAGGAGAACACGGCATGGTTTAAAATTAAAAGAAGTGCTCCAGGATTGTATTCTCTCTCCATGCCTATTTAAACTGTATGCTGAGAAAATTATTTGAGAAATTGGACTCTGTAAAGAGGAATGTGGCATTAGGATTGGAGGGAGGCTCATCAATAACCTATATTATGTAGGTGATACAACCCTGCTTGGTGAAAGTGAGTAGGGCTTGAAGCTCTTGTTGCAAAAGATCAGAGTGTACAGCCTTCAATAAGGACTGCATCTCAATGTCAAGAAAATAAAGATTCTTACCACTGGATCAATAGGCAACACAAAGCATAAAGCAGAGTTTACTTGTTTCCCATAGAATACAAAAGCCTGGCATGATTATAGATCTTTCCAGAAAAAAGACAGTAAATAGCAGTCATAAATATGGAAACCAAGTTTTCATCTTATTTGTTGCTGTTACTTGCTGTCAAGTCAACTCTGACCAACATTCAACAGAATAAAAATGCACCTGATCTTAAGCCATTTTCAAGATCACTCAGCCTAAGAGGCCCATCATGACTAGAACAAATAATTACTGTTGTGACACAGAAAGTTTTCACTGGCTAATATTTGGAAGTTGACTGCCAGCCCTTTCTTTCTCGTATGTTTTTGTTGACAAGTTCTGCAGCAATCCATCTACCATACATAGATGACCTTGTTGAAATGCTGGTGGCACAGCTTCTAATGTCACAGTAATATACAAGTCACTACAGTAGGACACACTGACAGATGGCTAATGATGGTTTCTATTCTTAATTCAGGTTTTTTGGCACTGGAACCAGTCATTTGATTAACCTGCTCAACAAGAGTAGGAGAGGACAATAAAACAAGTAAGGCAAAGGAAGGGCAGAAGGACATGATTTCTCTTCTGCCGTCCACTTCTGATCCTTGTTCCGAGGCCTCAGCATTAGCATCACAGCTGTTTTTGCAGACACAACAGAGGGTTATTTCAGGCAGCACTGACACGAGATTCGGAGAGGTTTCAGGTCACGTCTACAGGCAATTTTCCACAGCATAAATACTGATCTTGATGTTCTCTGGATTTAGGAAAATTGGATGTAGTAAAAACAAGAGCCTAAATATGTCCTACATTTCTGCCTGACAGGCAAGGAGTATCTTTAAAGTATCAGATCAGGAGACAGTGTTATAAAAAATTATGAGTGAAGGGCATATGTGATCACCGAATAGGACACACAACTGCCTCTCCAGGACGTTTCATGAGGCTAGTGAGAATACCTGACTCATAAGAATATTTCAGAAGGGCAGGGATTTTTCCCTCTTTTGGTCACTGATACATCCCTAGCACAGAAGGTAATCTACAAATATTTACTATAATAATGAAAGTTCCTATAAGAATTAAGTGAGCTGTAAAATGCATGCTATCTGACAAATAATAAGTGACCAACTACCCTGGTTTATAGTTAAATTTGGAGATCCACTGTCAAATTTCAAAAACAGCTGAAGAGAACAGTAGTACTACCAACACAGTCAATCCTTGTGAAAATGTGCTAATTTTTACTTACTTTGGAATTAAAAAGAGAGCTCTGTTGTCAACTATGACTCACAGTGACCCTATGAACAATGACTCTGTATTTTGCCCTATCCTGTGCTAACTTCACTGTCTCTGACACACCTAACCTTACTGTCACAGTCACCATGTCAATCCATCTCCTCCAGGGTCTTCCTAGTGGTAGGGACTTATGCTGCTAACCCAACCTGTAAGCGGTTTGACTCCATTTGCGGCTCTGTAGGAAAAAGATGAGCAATCTCTTCACATGCAATTAACTGCCTCTGAAAACCTGCTGGAAGGTCAGCTATGAGTCAGTTTCAACTCCATGGTACACAACAAAAACAACTAAAAGAAAAGCAGCATTGATTCTTTAAAAATAACTAGCGCCCTTCCCCCCGCCCCCATATAGGTAAAATTACCTTTCATAGAAAATTTCTGCAATATAGAAAAGTAAACAGAATGCAAAAATGACTCATAATCTCATTATTGAGAGAAAACAAAGTTGCCGTTTTCTTGATCTCCCAGAGCCATTTCCTCTATCTTTCTATCTGTTACTGTTGTTACGTGCCATCGAGTTAATTGTGCAACCGCACGATCTGAAGCAGGCTCTATCTTGTGCTATGTCAATCATCTTGCTGAGGGTCATCTTCTTCTCTTTTGCTGACCCTCCACCTTTCTAAGTATAATGTCCTTCTCCAAAGACTAGCTCCTCTATTGACATCCCCAAAGATGTGAGACAGAGTTTCACTATCCTTGCCTCCAAAGAGCGCTCTGGTTGCACTTTCTCCAAGATAGACTTGACTTGATTACTCTTTTGGCAGACCATGGGATATTCATTACTCTTCCCCAAGCACCCTAATTTTAAGATTCTTCTTCTGTCATCCTTAATTAGTGTCCAACTTGCAGATGCATAGCAAGTAATAAAAAAGATAATGGATTGGATGATATGCACCTTAGTCTTTAACTGACATCACTGCTTTTTGGTACATTGGAAATGTCACTGACAGGACATTTTCCCAATGTAATACATATTTTGATTTCTAGACTACTGGTATTAAGGGTGTTGACTGTGGATTAAGTAATTTATAATCGTAACATTTTCTCCATCCATCATAACATTTCTATTGGTCCAGTAGCGGTTTTTAAAATCCAAATTTTCTGGATCCCTTTCTATTTCTTCAATTTAGCTTTGGATAGATTCCACCAAATGCTGACACATCTCACTTAGCATTATGTATTAAAGGACTAATTCATTACAGGGAAGTACATACAAAATGTTTTTGTTAAAATATTTGAGGTTTGTATTGATAAAAATATAAAATACTGAATAGTAGTTGATAAATATTTATCTTATAGATGAAAATAAACAATCTAATCTGCTGAGCAAATGAATGCTAAAAGGCTGTGCTGTGCTTTGAATGAAGCCAAGTAAACTTAAAACTCTACTAAGGTCTCCTCCTCAACATTTCTGGTGAATAATTTTTGACTTACAGTTGGGGAGGGCAGTGACTAATAGTGACTGGACTTGCTATGACTCAAGGAAATATAGTCTGCATGGTTTCACAACTTCCAAAAGAGTTCCTACAAAAGGAAACAAACAAAAGCTACAAAAATTAACTGGGAACTCAAGAAAAGGCCTTGATTTTATGAAGGAGAATGTAAATTAAGTAATACTGTTTTCTGGGAGAATTGAAAAACATTTTTTAAGAGGGATCAACACAAAACTCCTTGCTATTGAGTCAAAACTGACACCTACCTGAGCCCCCAGTGTGTTTTCCAAGGCTATACACTGTACAGGAGGAGACTGCTCAGCTTTCTCTCGTGAACCCACCGGCCTGGGGTTAGCACTGATGTCTATGTAAGATAGCTGTTGCTGTTGCTGTTGTTGAGTGATGGTGAGTTGGAACCAGCTCACAGCTGACCCTCCAGGAGGTTTTCAGAGGCAAAAATACATAAGAAAGATATTGCTCATCCTTCTTTTGCAGAGCAACTGGTGGATTCGAACTGTGTGCCTTAGGGATTACAACTCAGCTTACCACGAGATAAGTAACTGAACAAAATCAGGTTGAAGGCATATCATGACTTCAGAGAACAAGAAAAGCACAAGAAGTAAGACCTATTTTAAGACCGCTTCTCCTCAGTACCAAGTAACAGTATCATCCTCAATATTGGCTCTGGCTTATTTATAGCTACAACTTCCGCACAAACTGGTAAGTATGTAATGGAAAAAGTATTAAATATTTTTAAATGAAACCAAAACTCAGGAGTCTATACTTGCATGAATCCATTTCCAGGTGAAGTCTACAGTGAGTTCCTCAGTTCTCTCTGGTTTTAGTCCTTACATGAGTTCACATTATGTGAAAAGAAACATGTTAAGAACTGATTTCCCTACTTACTCTTTCTGTTGTTCTGTGCCACCAAGCTGGAGCAGATTCACAGGTGACCCTCCAGCAGGTTTTCAGAGGCAAAAAATCACACAGGAGGAGACTGTCTCCCCTTTTCTTGCTTATCCTAGTTTAAATATAGCCCCAAACTTGAACATTTAGTCATAAATTCCTCATTTATTAGTTACTGATCAGAGTTCTGCTTTCTTCCTGAAATCTGCAACTACTAGTAGTACTAAAGGTCAAATCCCTCCACATGTTTCACAGTACAACTGTCTCTTACGCCTGCCATTCTTCTACAGTGCTGCTGAATGGGTCCAAAGTGCTAACATTTCTTTAGTAGTGAAAACACCGCCTCATTGAAGGTTTACCACTAATTAGTAGGTTTATTCATATCCAGCACAGAGTATATTATTTAATTTTTCACAATACTTGCTACCAATACTCATCTAAAACTCAATGATTCAATATCAAGTATTTTTTTGCCAACTTTTTAAAGTAAGAGACTGGGACAGTGGAGCTGATGATGGCTTTTATGATAAAAGAGAAAAACAGTGTGCTTTTAGAAACAAACACCAACTATGAGTAGAATTTTTTCCTATGACTGTCATGGAGGAGAAAGGCAATAGAACCAAAAAAATTCCTATTCAACTCTCTTCTGTCATAGTAATTTTATTTTTACAGTCCATAGAAAGATAATAAAAAAAATAAAGTTACCTTATTTTCCTCTAGAAATTTCAATTTGATAGACACATCACTGCGCATTTTATCGTATTTTTCCTTATGGGCTTGGAATAATTGCTGTGACTGCTCAATCTTTGGCAGGGTGTTTGCATCACGTGGTCCAAGATTCAGTTCTTCTAAATCAGTGCGGTACGCATCATATTCAATCCTGGAAAGAGGAGAACATATGATACGTACTACAAGAACACGGAGTTCTATTTAAGAGATAACTGGAAAGATTTTGGATTTCCATTCATTCATTGTTGCACTTTTCATTAAAATTAATAAAAAGAGAGAGAGAGAAAAAGGAAATATTATTAAAGGAAAAAAAAGAGATAACTGGAAATACATAGTCATTTCTTACGTTGTTGTTGTTAGGTGCCATCAAGTTCAGTACAATTCACAGCAACCCTATAAACATGACCTGAACCCTTCCTACCCTGTGCCACCTTCATGATCTTTGACACACTTGAGCCCATTTCTGCAGTCACTATGTCAATCCATCTCATTAGGAGTCTTCCTCTTTTTTGCTAATCTTCCCCATTTCCAAGCATGATGTCTCTTTTCAAGGAACAGCCTCTCCTAGCAATATACCCAAAGTAAAAAAGACAAAGCTTCACCATCTTTGCCTCTGAGGAGCACTCTGGCTGCACTTTTTCTAAGGCATATCTGTTATTTTCTATTATACAGTGCCAGAACAATTCAAATATATCTGTACAGACTTTATGCTTTTGAAATCACGTATTTCTTTACACAAAAAGAAATATTAATAAAGTCAAAAGGAGGAAATTGTTTAAATATTTTAACTAGTAAAAAAAAAAACCTGACAAATATTCCAAAATTTAAAAACCAGTTCTAAACAACAGCTTATGGCACCAAATGTTAGCAAGATGAAGAGTTGAAGGGACACTACTTTGTAAAATTCTTAATCATAACCAAACACCGAGTAAATAAGTTGTTGGCTCCGAGGCCTTGGGACCAAAGGCTCTGGGGACGTCATGATCAACTGGCTTAACACAGTTCACAAATACAACATGTTACATCCTACTTTGGAGAGTACTGATGTGGGTCTTACATGTTAGTGAGTAGTCAACTTTTTTCACTCTGGAAAAGAGGCAAGGAAAGTATAGATGTACTGAAACAATTAGTCCAAAGGGCTAAAAGACCATACAAATGTCAACTTCCATGACCTTGTGACCATTAATTCCCCATATGACTTGGTTCATTTTGGTTAGGCAAAATCAAGCACATATAGTATACTTTTAGGTACTTAAACTGCAATGCACAACATAAATAGAAACTTTTAAATACATAGTTTAAAAATTTCTACTACTTAAGCCAGTATAGTAAAAATTATTTTTTTAG